ATATATAAAAAAAAACTAATTGAAATCCTAGATTATTCTAAAGGTGTACCTAGATCGAGAATAGATAAGTTCAATTCACATTTTAAAAACCCAAATCCAAACTAAGTTGGACCAAATAGGTAGTCAACTTGACTCGTGAACTAGTTTAAAGGAGAGCATGTTTTTTGGTTTGTTAGGCAAAAATACAAACTAAAATCTTTGACAAAAGTATGAAATTCTAAAATTGGGTTTGTGAACTTGAATTTCAAATTTAGGATAGTTAAATTGAATGATAAAATTCATGGAAAAAATGATTTTCATGTTCATAATTTTAAATTCATGAATTTATTAAAATTTATATTTAGTAGTGAATTTGAAATGCTTTATCAAAAATAAGGTATTTTTAAATTTATTGTCTTATACTCTTTTAAATGCATAAGTGTATATAACTTTTATGTAACATATGCACTCATCCTTATATGTACATACTTATAACAAATAAAATTTAGATTTCACTCTCTCAAATTTATATTTCCAAACATAGCATTAACTTATAGATAACTCCAAATGTCACTGATCCTTAAATGAATAAATATATAAGAAATTGTTTTATTGGTGGAAATAGGGATTTTATTATAATCTGATCATCCTAGGAAAAGAAATTTCTAACATGTCATACATCAACAAACTTTTAGATTCAATAGGGAGCAAATAATAAAACACAAAATCATTTATTAAATTCAAACCCACACCAGCCATGAAATCAACTACTGTATTCCTTCTCAGTAAATATGGGATATTTTCACCTCTCATTGTCTCTTGATCATTCCACGAATTACTTTAATTAAGTCAAAGTTAGCACACGGATAAGAAGGCTCAGCCAAAAGTCCAAAAGTGCCTGAACTACCTTCTCAGCCAAAAGTGCTTGAACTATCATTATATTTTCCACCTGCAACCATACTCGACGAAAAGCCCTGTTCCCATGCTAGTTAAAGTTCGCGAAACATCCCCCATAACTCAACTCTATAAATTGCACAATTATTTAATTTAGTTGCATAGCTGTCCAACCATTGGCTTTCATTATCGTGCGTAACTCCTCCAGTAGAAGCTCAATTTATGTTGCATCGTTGTGCCCTACCTGAGTTAATGACTACCCAGCCAGCTGTCGATTGAAGCCAAGAGATTAACACCTTTTCTTGGCATGTTGCAAATTCACTAGCATAATCAAAAATTGAACATGCATCAACGGTTGTAGCTGCCAACCTTTTGATTACTGATAACTTGTTAGCTGTTGAAAATTTATCCCCTTAAAAAATTGAAGTATTGAACCACTTCCAAAGTTGCTAACTTATGATGCCAAAAAGAAAGGGCCGAGGCACGTTTTCAACTTTTTGTTGGTGCCTATTTAAATTAAAATAAAGCCAATCAACCAAGGAAGAGAATAGAAATTCTTTTGCATATTCGATGGAAGAATTTGCATCCACACCACATTTGTGTAAGGATAGTCAAGTAAAACATGTATAGTCAACTCCTTGTGTAATCCGCATTAAGCACACGTTGCATTAGAAGCCAAAAGTTTGCATCTTCTCTCCATATTAATAAGTAAACGGTTTGAAAGCATTGCATCAGAAAAGTGTGAATTCTGTAAGGTTCTTTCCATTTCCATGCAAGGTCCCATAGTCCACTATTCAAATCAGTAGCTGTAGCAGTAGTCTGCTTGAGATACTCATATGCAAACGCCATAATACATATACCTAAAGGAAATAAGCCCCAAAATGGAATGGCATTGCAACACGTTGAGCTATGCTTGCAAGACAAAGGGAATTTAATTGCGTAAAGTTCCAATTCCCATTCAGTAACAAGAAAACACAAACAAAATTGTTAACATTGGTTGGTATATCCACATTGTGATCCACCTCAATCAATGGTTGGTCTCCAAGTGAAACATCAATCTAAAATCTTGTAGAGGACGTTCACCAATTGCCCACCTCACATTTTTTTAAAATAAAGGCCGTAAACGGCTCAGGGAATTCCATAACAAGGAAGCACTAGCACAATAAATATTAGCAAACTACTTAGAATTATACTTACCACTGAGTAATTTCATCCATAGTGCATCTAGACGAGAGAATAATTATCATAGTAATTCCATAAAAAAGGCATCATTCATTAAATGCAAAGGCCTAATACCCACACATCCTTCCTCTTTGGGCTTGCATATATCAATCCATCATATTAAATGGACCTTCCTATTGGATGAATCTCCTCCCTAAAGAAAATTCCTAAAAATTCGCTCAATTCACCTACAACATTCAGTAGGAATAGACATGGTTTGCATAGTATAGTAAGGGATAGTGGTAAGTACAACCTTAACTAAGGTAAGTTATCCTGCAAAAGACAAAGGGGCTGTTTTACATGCACTTTGTTTACTTTTTCCCTTATCTTCCAAATAATGGAAAGAGCTAAATCCTTTCCTGTCATGGAGAAACGAGACACCAAGATACGTCCCCATCTCATCAGAGTAATTAAAGCATGAACAAGAGTTCAAATTATTAATGCACTCACTCGACACATTCTTAGAACAAAGGAAAGAGGATTTTTGCACATTGACCTATTCTCTAGAGCATGCAGACAAATAATCAGCTTTTTCCACAAATCGTATTAAGAACCTCTTATCATCAAGATCAACGATACTATACTTCCCTTTTGGTTTCCACAAACAGCAATTTTTTCAGAAAGTAACTCGTAAAAGATACGGCAGCCAAGAAGCCCCACTATGACCTAATTCAGCCATCAATTTGCCAACTCACTTTACTTAAGATCTGAGATCGTGAGTGATGGGTAGCCATCAATCGAACCATATTGGTAGTCCTCTGTCTTAATATCATCCGATTCATAATCCATCCCAAAATCATACCTAGAATATTTTTCACCATTAGAAACCATATCATCACCATCTGGACTAAGCAATGCTTCCTTAAAAGATGGATTGTCATGAACAATCAACTCGTTCTCATTCTGAACTTCATTAAGATTTGAATTATGAGTTCTAATTTTTTTTGTAAAATTGATCATAAGAATCCCAAGATTAGGGTTTTTTTTTAAAAAGAGAGCCCTCATTCTTTATTTTAAATACTCAGTATAGAATATTCTATTTTTATAATATAGTAAATATTCATTATGAATATTTTAAAAATGTACACATTACTCTTTTACCTTTTAAGATACAAGAAAGAATGCAGGGAACTATAAACAAATGAACGAAGGAAAATGTCATTTAACGTACTGAAAAGAGTTGAATAAAGAGGATTCTTCTTCCTGTTAGTTTGATTATGTGATGAAGTTAGGAAAATTGTAATTTGCAATGCAAATGCAACTCTAGAAAACTGTGGTTGGTGAGTCAACAAGACGAAACCAAGCTGCATTAGAAATTCCTGCGTGCCCTGTGATTTCAGGCCACTAAGTCAAAGCGTGACCTCATCGTAGTTATTTTACTAATTAGTACATATATTTTTGTTTCCAAAATTGCCCTTTACCAACCCCATTCCCCAATCCATTTCTTGTTCATCCAAAATCATCTTCATCACATCAGTAGGTCAAAGCTATTAAGTTAACCAAAAACCCAACTATACGCCAGCATTTGACCAATGCAAGCGAGAAACGTTTAAATAAGCAATAGCTCATATTTGTTATCAACACTCTGATCAGATAGACACAATGTCATAATTTGTAAATAAAACATTTTTTATATAATAATTTATTAATTATAAAACATTTCGTTCCTTAAGTTGATATTTATAGAAAAAATTTATATTTAAGATAAAGATAGTTTGTATTTTAATGTATTAACTCATCTAAAATTTGGTGAAAGTATTAATGTATTAAATAAAAAATTCTTAAAATAACAATTTAATTAATTATAAAAAATGTTTATAAACACCCTGGATTATTTTATTTTATTTTTGCTAATCAAACCAGCTTTATTGCTATCTCAAGACATACACAAGATGGACAAGAAACAACACAGTCAGGATGCTTGGGCTATAAGGTGCAACATGAGAAGAAAAACTATAAAATACCTTAGAGCAGATGCCAGTTATATATAATATTCATCTGGGTTCCTAATAAAATAGACAGGACCAAAATCATCTACAAAAATAGAGCATCAACAACAAAACAGTCATATTCCAAAATCAAAATGCATGCACAAACAAAAGAAACGTTCGAATTTAAAGATTTTGTATTAGAAATTAAAAGATAATCATATAAATAAATAAATAAAATAAAATTTTATACATATAATAATAAATATAATTTAAAATTGAGAAATGACGACTGTTACCACCCGTCATCCCTTTAGGCCTATCAGTACCTCAAATACAAGTTACAAAGAAATCATTTATCTTATCTTCACTGTGCTTCCATATGTTGCTCATGCTATTTTTTGATGTGTACATAAATTTTTAGTTTTGTTTTTTGGGCTGAGATGTATATCCCTGTGTTATGGGCTAAGAATTTTCTGGTGGTTGACTGTTGTACAATGTGGTTTGTGGAAAGGCGGAAACTTCTTGTGTTGTGAGGGTGCTTTTTTGGTCATAGCCCTCCCTGGTCCCTCACTACTCATTTTTTGAGTTTCTGTATTCAGTAAAAGAAATATACATATTCTTGAATATATATATATATATATATATATAGGCGCTGACCCCAAAAATGTTATTCTGAGCATTGAACCTGTTCAGTCATATTTTGGGTATTGTTTTTTACTATTCCGTGTTTTAGGTATCATATAAACCATATAAAGAATATTGAGGATCATGATCAATAATAAACATTTTAGGATTTAGAATTCATTTATGTAGCATGTTACGTATTCTGTAAATTGGCCAGTATGGCGTTATCCAATCAGCATAGGCATTACCAAATGTGAAATGTCTAAATCAATTCAAGACATTATTTAATCTCATAATATTTGTGACTTGACAAGTTCTAAATTGCCAATCAATTCTCTTGCAGCACCTCCGTCTACCATTACCTACTTGTATATTACCTCAACCAAATCTCAAACCAACCCAGAGAGGCAAAGAAACCAAACACCGACCTTCCCTTGCTTTTGATTTCCCATACTCACCTTTCAATTCTTTCTCTATCTCTCCCAAACAATGGAGGCCAATCAAGAGCAACAGGAATTCATTTTTCGGTCCAGGCTCCCTGATGTTTACATCCCAAATCACCTCCCTTTGCAGACATACTGCTTTGAAAAAATTTCTCAATTTAAAGATCATCCTTGCTTGATTAATGGTCCTAATGGGCGGATATACAGCTATGCCGAAGTTGAGCTCACTGCTCGCAGAGTGGCTACCGGACTCAACAATTTAGGCATCCAACAGGGAGATGTTATCATGCTTTTGCTTCAGAACTCACCGGAGTTTGTCTTTGCTTTCCTGGGTGCATCATTCCTTGGGGCAATCAGCACTACCGCTAACCCCTTTTACACCCCAGCCGAGATTGTGAAACAAGCCACGGCCTCAAAGACTAGGCTGCTCATAACTCAAGCAGTATATGCAGAGAAAGTGAAGAATTTCGCTAAAGAAAACGATATCAAGATCATAACAATTGATACACCACCGGAGGGTTGTATGCACTTCTCAGAGTTGACTCAGGCTGACGAGAGTGAAATCCCACCCGTTAAAATCAACCCTGACGACGTTGTGGCCCTGCCATACTCTTCTGGAACAACAGGGTTACCGAAAGGAGTGATGTTGACTCATAAAAGTCTTGTAACAAGCGTGGCCCAACAAGTGGATGGAGAGAATCCCAACCTTTATTTCCATGAGAAAGATGTGATTCTCTGCGTGCTGCCACTGTTCCACATATATTCACTCAATTCTGTGTTACTTTGCTCTTTGAGGGTGGGGGCCGCAATTCTGATTATGCAGAAGTTTGAGATTGTAACATTGATGGAACTTGTGCAGAAATACAAGGTAACCATCGCTCCCTTGGTGCCACCGATCGTTTTGGCCATCGCCAAGACTCCGGACGTTGATAAGTATGACCTTTCATCTATTCGGACGGTCATGTCTGGCGCTGCACCAATGGGAAAGGAGCTAGAGGATGCTGTCAGAGCCAGGCTTCCTAATGCAAAACTTGGACAAGTAAGTTTGGATATTACTTTCTTTGTTTGTTTATTTTCTTATCACGTGTTTGTTTGGTTCTTTATTTTCTTAATTATATACTTATTAAGTTTTATAATATATGAAATAAACCAACTTAAATTTTTTATTTTGTATGGATAATTGTTTATTTCAGATTTTTTCTTAAGAAAAAAAAGACATAAACTCTAGCAAAACTTTTTTACTATGTTCATTTGATCCACTTAATCTCTCACATTTTATTGTATTCAAATCAATTTTAAAAGCTTTATTTTAAATCAAATAAACTTTTTAATTTAACAAAAATGTAACTATTATTAGATTTAATGTTAATTATCTTTTTTTTATTTACGTGACACATGACTGGATTAATTGATGACAGAATCAAAATCTAACATCATAGCTCACCAATCGGTGGTCACCTGTTGGTGTCGCAAATACAAAAAAAAAAAAATTTAGATTCCCCACGGTCTCCTCTTTCTTAATGGGAGTAGCTTTGTGAAAATCCTCTCATTTTTATTTACGAGAAACCGAAAATTGGAATTTTTTTAAAAGTTTTGCTAGTGACGAAGGGTGCCAACTACAGGCAACTACGGTAGTCGGATTTTAGATAGACCCTAGAGAGAGAGAGAGGAGAGTGGGAGAAAAAAATGGCAAATCTTTGTAGCTTACCCAAAACTATTACATGATAATTAATTTTTTATTAAAATTAAATATTTATTTAATTTAAAATAAAATTTAAGATTTCATCTTAATGTATTTTGAGGTTGAAATTTCACAATGTTGTGAAATTGGGTTTCTCATATAAGGACAAACCTATTAATTGTGAAATATATATATCATAACAAATCTATAACATTATTAGAAGGAAGCCCTCATTTTGCCACGTATAAGGCTTTAAAGAGTGGATTTTAGAGCATTAACAAGTTGCCTTCAAAAAGGGGAAGCTCTAACAAATTTTCAAAAAAAATTTTAAATTGTCTAGGCGTGAGAGTAAAATTTAAAAATAAAAAAAAGTTTCTTAATGATTCTACTAGAGTAGAATAGTAAACTCTGAAAAAAAAAAAGATTTGGTACCAAATTTACAAAAAAAATAAAAAAAGAAGATGGATTTACAACAAGTACTCACGAAAGGGTTAAATTTTGTTTTTTTTCTTAAGACTTTTCTAACAGAAAAAAAAAAATGAGAGCAAAAATAAATAGAGTTGGACCCAGTCTCTTTTTGAAGGAAAGGTAAAATTTTTGTAAAACACAGCAACAACAAAAGTTCAATATCAAAGAAAGAGATAGAGAAATATCCAAAGTTTCTTTAGTAATTCTACTTCCTCTATTTTTGAAGACAAAGAAGAAAGATATAGAAACACAGAGCGGTGTAAAGAGACCGTGTGCAAAGCACGGATCATATTCTAGTGCCCTTAAAAAGGGCCTTTGAAATTTTTCCTAGTGGGTAGCATGTTTCCTTATTTTAGGGGACCATGAACGACTCCTTTAATTTCGTTATAGCAACTTTCTTAATTTTCCTCTGACAAAAACAAAAATCTGTAAATGCATATGGTTCTTTCCAATCGAGAAAACAAGATTATATATCCCACTATATATGTAAATTTTATCTGCTACAGATTATTTGCCGCTAACAATTGATCTTGTTTGCAATGAATCTGCTATGCCTTTCTATTGCTTTTCATATTTTCATTGTTTTTACGTTTAAATTTAAATCAAATTCGACCTGCCAAGCTCAATTATAGTAAAAAATCAACCAAAAAGGAAGCAAAAATAATCACAAAGGAAAACGAAATAATTGCAAGAGAACATGATAGCTTTGATTGTATCCATAACCGCATAGCACAACAAATCCATGGTTTGCTATTATTTTTTGGTCTTGGTCATGACACCCAAATTTTTAATTGCCAAGAAATCAAAGATATTGGCCTAACTGCAATTATTCAATGAGTGCAGGGTTATGGGATGACAGAGGCAGGGCCAGTGCTAGCAATGAACTTAGCTTTTGCAAAACAAGCCTGTGAGACCAAATCCGGCTCCTGTGGCACGGTCGTGAGGAACGCAGAAATGAAAATTGTCAACCCTGACACTGGTGCTTCGCTTCCACGAAATCAGTCCGGGGAAATTTGCATTCGTGGTAGCCAGATCATGAAAGGTACGGTACAACCATCTGCTTTACCCCATTTTTCCATCTTCCCTCGAGACCATACCGAATGCTATTTAATGATCAATTTCAATATCTTTTGTTAGCAGTCAAGTTCTGTGTGAAGTGACAGATAATTAATTAATATATTCCTAAATTACAGGCTTTTTGGTACACCAAATTAAATTTCATAAAATTAATAGAAAAAATTGTCTAGTTGCAGAAACAAGGACATGTTTGTATTACATTAAATCTATTATTGCTCCCGAGTGTAAATCCCATTATTTTTTAATGAAAGTTTGATCTTTTCAAAAGAAAAGAATTTGTCTGGTTGAATAGTCTAATCTGTGTTAATAAATAGTACTAAAATTTTATAAGTTTTTAATCCAAAAAAAGTAAATTATATTGAAGAGAAGAATCAAGAATAAATAAATAATTAACTAGGATTAATTAAAGGGGAAAATTTGTAAATGTCTATTTAATGCTATGGTTACTTAACTAAGGTAGTAGTTGGAAACTTCATGGCGTCGGTGTATGAAAAATTTTACTAATAAAAAACAATAAACAATAAAATTTCAGCTGCATTATTTGCCTTTGCGGTAGTTGTGATAACGAAATTGCATAAACCACTGTTTAAACATGGACTATTTGTTTGGTAGGATGTATCTTTTGCAGGCCGAAAAGTCAAAGTCTTGAGAAGTATGAATAACAATGTTTCTTTAGTCAAATTTGTGAGTTTTTCATTAAAAATAATTACATAAAAATTAAAATGATATAGTGATAGAATTCAACTACTGAATCAACAACAATACTTAATTAAAAATATTATCTATGCATAAAATATGATCAATAATTTTCCGAATAATGAAAAGTTTGTCATAACTTTTACTAATTATGTAAATTTAATTAAAAAATAAATTATTATGTAATTGATCTATTTAACAAGTTATATCATTTAATTAGTTTAGATTTTCGTTTCTTAAAGTTTTATTTAATAATATCTAATAGAAAACCTTGTAAACTTGACCTAAAAGAAATTTTACATAAGTTTCATTTCACTAATTTCTTTCTACCAAATTTTATTTTCCAATTTCATGAACCATTTCATTAAATACAAAAAAAAATGGTTTGATTTTATAAGCCATTAACTTACGGATGAGTTTAAAAGAATATGATTATATACATATATATAATTATATAATTATATTTTGTTTCCTTCCTTTTCATGGCATACTATAGAATATGTCAAATATGCCTTTAATTTATTGTCCAACAAGATCGAGTGTTTCTAATTCTGTGTCGTATTTTCTGTCATTGCAACTTTCTATGGCTAAGACTGATTTTTTTTTTTGAAGAGTAATGTAAATTTCATTACCTGGAGGGAATGAAATTTTCACTTCCTTCTGAACATGGCTAAGACTGATTGGCATAATTTAATCAAATGACTTTTCTTTCCCTTTTTTTTTTCTTTCTTTAATCGATGATCTCTTCCGCAAAGGTTTGCACCATATTCTAAGGTCTTTGCCCACCATTATGAGCAGTCTACTTCTAATTGCTTTATGGGATTGATTGGGGCATGAAAATGGGATTTAGCTATCACGGATGGATATTCAGCTCGACGGTGACCACAGCATTTATTTCCACTGAATTTTTGTTACTTAAAGACCCTGGCCAATATAAGATAAAGAAAATTTCCCAGAAAGAGCTTTTGTGGAATCGCACATACCGGCTTTTCTTAATGACAGAATAGAATACACAATGTCATTGTTGACATCAGCTCTGGCTTTGAAAAACATTCATTGTTGTTCATTTTCGATGTTTTTTATAATAAAAAGAAAATTGATTAACTTAAAACAATTACATCACATCTTGGTTAAAAAATACAAAACATATCTTCAAATAAATAAGTAAAAATATTATATATATTAAGTAACAAAACAATCTCAATTCTTTTATAAAAAGACTTAATTTTTCTCAATATATTAGCTTAAGGATCCAAATTTGATTTTGATGTTGATTTCTTTATAATTGTGAATTTTAAGCATTCTTATCTGCTAATTTCAATTCTACTCTACACATATGGGGTGGAATTGTTTGCTTATTTTTGGACTAGTATTTAGCTTTATATTCACATATATTTCATTGAGATGCATAGGAGTTTAAGATGATGATCGTTATTTTAAGTTAATAAGTTTTAACTCTAAATTCTACATTTAAGTTTTTGATTTAATTACAATTATATATGTCTCGCACTCAATGAATTGAGTTGAAGTTTCCTTTTCTCAAATTATATCCTATAAAAAAATGCACATTCTAAAGTTTATCTTTCCCAAAAGTAATTTGGTACCTGCAAAGTCAGAGAATTTTCCATTTTAAAATTTGAGCTCTTCTTACAAATTTTGCACAAAAGCAGTTCATATTCAAGTCCAGGCTATGTCCTGGATTCTCAAACATACAAAAATTAAGCAGAATTAACATTTTTCAGGTTATCTTAATGATCCGGAGGCCACGCAAAGAACTATAGACAAAGATGGATGGTTGCACACCGGGGACGTTGGCTACATTGATGACGATGATGAGCTTTTCATTGTTGATCGATTGAAGGAATTGATTAAGTACAAAGGGTTTCAAGTGGCACCTGCCGAGCTCGAAGCAATGTTGATTGGCCATCCCAACATCTTTGATGCTGCTGTTGTACCGTAAGTGTCCCTTAACATTATGCTAAACTGACATTAACAAATGATTTTGAGCATATTAGTGGCCTGAGTTTGATTCATATGCATTTATGTCATTTTGTAATTATGTATTCCAGCATGAAAGATGAGGCTGCTGGAGAGGTTCCAGTTGCATTCGTTGTGAGATCCAATGGTTCCAAGATCACTGAAGATGAAATTAAGCAATTCATCTCAAAGCAGGTAAAATTAAGAATTCTTTACTATTAATTGTGTTAGATATTTGGCTCAATCTCTAGTTGAGAATCAATTTAAATTTCGATGTAATTTTATTGGTTGAGCACTATTTAGTGATTAAGCTTATTTAAAGGGAAATATACTTTAATAATCAAGAGTTCAAATTCTTGATAACCAAATAAATAAACTCTATTAAATATGAAATGAATCTTAACTTCTAAGGTTATGAGAGAAATGTAATATCTATGTGAGAGATGTATTTTTTTATGAAGATTTCATAGTGTTCTAGGGATGTGAGAAAGAGTGAAAACATCTGAGTTATATTGGATAGAGTTACTATTTGTAATATTTACATTTATAGTGGATTTTTTTCTTTGGTCTGTGTATGTAAGCAATGATGTCGAACTATATGTTGAATAATATCTCCTGTATATGATTTATTTTTGTGTTGATACCGTTATGGAATAGATTTTTACTTGAAATTCTTAAGAGATTATTTAATTTGAAGACAACTTGTCCACCTAATACAATGAACAAGAACATATATCAGCTTGACTAAAGTAGTACCCTTGGCTTGATTGTTTTGCAGGTTGTGTTTTACAAGAGACTTGGCCAGGTTTTCTTCACGGAAGCAATCCCTAAAGCTCCCTCCGGGAAGATTTTGCGGAAAGATCTACGAGCAAGGCTTGCTTCAGATATTCCCAAGTAAGCCCAAATGGAACAGATTGCAGCATTCCATCAAGAAAAAGCTATCAACAGATGTAGATATGGAAGCAAAGGCCTAATAATATTATGCTGGTGATTTTTAATGCCAAGGGATTGAATTTGTTACTTTGGATAACCAAGAATTTAGCAACAAAGAAAATTGTTAGTATCCTATCGGGGCTTTGTTTGAAATTGTTATTTTGTTCATGTATATGGTTTTATGGACAAACTCAAACAAGTTGTAGAACATATGTTTACAGTTTGACGGAGTAGAAACTCCCAACATTTGTCTGGTCTGTATCTCTTAACTTCTTTTTTCCCATTTCTATTATTGAATTGATTTTTCTGTCTCTGCTTTCGTTGAGCTTGAATTATCCTATGCTCGAATCATTGGTCTCATCCCTGTTGCGACGATAGTGTGTTAGGGTGCCCAACAACAATATTGTTGGCAAATTTGGGCTTTCGGGGTCTCCGCTCTGCAAATTAAACAACCAGGCCAGGTTCACATAAAGCCTGTCTAGCTAGAAAGTTAAAAGATTTGAAGTCCATTTTAGAACTGTTGTCTTTGCAAATGCAATGATGATGATTTTAAGTATAATATTCTCTTTTGTCGAAGATTGAATTTGGTCCCTTTATTATTTTAATGTGGTGGTTTTAATCCCGTATAGCGTTTTTTTTTTGAATTTTAATAAATTTAATTTTCATATTTTATTAAACTAATTTATAGAGAATTGATAATACAGTAAAATCTCTATAAATTAATATCCTTAGACTCATGAAAAGTTATTAATTAATTAAAATATTATTTAATTGACAAATTAATAATTATTTAATTTATATTTTAATTAATAAAAAATAATTCTAAAGGTATTTTTTATTCTTTTCAAAACATTAAACTTAATACATGTATTGTATATTGTGATGATATGAATTTTACTTAATTACCAGATTATAAATTATCATTACTTGTCATGAGTTAATTATTAAGAACGTCATAAAAATGACAAAAAAGATGACATTAAGGATGATAAATCTATACTAGAGCTTGTCTCGTGCAAAAATGAACTCCAAAGAATAATTAAACTGCATAATTTTCTTTTATAATACGAAAATACTACATTAGAGTTTCTTAATGCACTAAAAAAAAGTAAAAAATGAGATCCAATAAGACATCATTTTTTAAAAAAACAATAAGTAACATTGAAGTTATATTTTACAAAGGTTTTTTAATCGAATCATGTATATATATAATTTTTATATATAAAAATATTAATTTATATATCAAGTGGGAGCTATATGTTTTTTTTAAATGTATTATCTTCTAAATTTAATGAATTATTAATTTGTTACATTGATTTCAACTTAAGAATGATAAAAAATATTATTTAATTAAGATTATTAATTTATCCATTATAAAAGTTTAACTATAATATTAAATTCTACTGTTAATTTCGTCTAAGTAGTTATTTTAGACATGTAAGATATAAGGATGAATCAAGAAAGATAATACTCCATCTGTCCCATAAATAATGTATTAGGTTAACTCTTTACAGTCAAACTTGTTAAATTTGACTTCAGTTATTTTAAATATGTGATTAAATTAAAACTCTAATAAATATATATTTGAAAACTATTTTATAAAAAGCTTTCAAAAATATTTTTTCAAAATTCAATTAACGAATATTTATATATAAATAGTCGTCAAATTTGAAAAACGAAATTGATTGTAAAAAGGGGGACTCAAACATTAATTATTTAAACATATGATGAGTTGTTTTTTTTTTCCCTAAAATATATATAAGTTATTGGAAACGCAAGAAATTATTATATTCACTCATCATTAGAACTAACTTTGTGACTGACAGTTTTTTTTATATAAAATAAAAATTTTGAGCTACACAACAAAAGGTACTCTATTCAATTTCATAAATCTCACTGCACCGTACTAGTTTTCGAACCAGAGCCTGAGTATGAAGTTTCTAGTCTGATCGTAGGGCATTTCCTAAGGCCCTAAAACATTATTGCAGAACATCTTACATAAAGTACTTTTGGAACTTTCAACTTCACATAAGTCTGTAATTAAACAGAAACGTGAACTTCAGCCAAGTCTGCTTTCAAACATGTAGGGGCCAAATCATATTTGTGCGTGTACGTTTTTGGCAGATTCCTCTCTCTCTCTCTCTCTCTCATGCAATGAAAGACATAATATTAACATGATTGACCATTAGCACTTTCGTTTTGCTAATGAAGGGTCTTGCTCAAAGTGATATACTGATATCTAAACATGTGAAGCCTAATAGATTCCTACAAGATTGCCTGTGTAGATTGTAGTAAGTATGCATCCTTATCTTCTGGAATGTGTGGATTTAAAATATTTTGTGCTTTGAGTACAAAATGCAATTGCAAATGCCTATATTTGCTAGCTTGACCCGCGACCATACATCTATGTATTTTGCTGCGTGTACTTGTTGTACTGTTACTTCCCACGATGAGAGATGGTGAAAAAAAAGAAGCACACCGAGAGTTTATCCCTGCATCCCCCCACTTAAAGAACCTGAGTGCCGACACCTCAGCTTCAACTTCCAACGTGTCAATTTCGAGGGTCAACTTGTGTTACCCTTGTGTCTGCCACATATCATTGCAAACCCTACTTTCCATTCTCACGCAAAGAATCCTCTCTATTCTGTCACTTCCCCTGTCCTCACCCTTTCTCTCTGCTGTCCTCTCTTCTCTTAGCTCTCTTAAAAGCTGAAAAGTGACGCTGACTCCAATTCACTCCCTGCTTGTCAATACTTTATGCCCCTACCTATCTTCTTTCGTTTGCTTTTTTCTCGTAAACGCCAAACATACAGCTTGCTTGAAACAAACATTGCTTATCCTACCCTAGACTGAGACCATTAGGCTTCATTTTGATGATAAAAATCCTGTTTATGATTGATTTGGAGTTCAAATTTTTTCGTTAATTTTGTAATCTGTCTTAATTTTGGAATTAAAACAAAATTTCAATTTTTAATTGTACATTAGATTGTTCCGACTATATAAGCATATTATTTTCTCTGTTTCAAATTAATTATCCATATTTGATTTGACAATGAGATTAAGTAAAACTATGTTAACTTTATTGTTGTTGATATTTTAAATTTTTGTTTATAACAACGGGAGGCATTTGAAAAGAAAAAGTATACATAGTTCGAAAATCGAAAAAGAAAAAGCAACATTCAATGTTAAAACGGAAAGGATTCTTATATAGTAGAGTATTTATAAGTTATTTATACAGAAGCGTGACTTAAGGACATACACATTTACATCTTGTCTTGAAAGAATCCACTTATTGCTTGATAGGGACTGAGTGATGCTAGTCTGTAGTGAAACCAACGAAATATGTTGAAAAAACTGAAAAGAAAAATGTGATGGAGATTACTCGGGATGTTTTATAGAAAATTAAGCCAATCATAAAGGATTGCGAAGTAATATAAAAGAAAGAAGCTCGATTATGGAACTCAATGGTGATGTTACCATGGAAATTTGAGGCATTATTGTGGAAGACCTTTCCCATTTGGGATTAGTAGAGATGGGTTTGATTAGACTGACAACGAGAGATAAAGAAAGATCGTTCAGACTGATAATGTATGTCAAACTAGTTATCTTTTTGGTTAGAGTGATAATGTCGGTGCATAATTACAAACAAGGAATGGACAAGAGAAAGGTTGGCTTTAAGTCGGATTTTATTTGTCTTACGTAGATCATTAGGAATCTCCACCACAATTCCACGATAGCTAGCTGCAGCAGTTAAATTATATTGTTAAAAGACTATGTATTTTCTCCTTTTGGGTTAATCCTTCAAAATTACTTCTTCCTCCTTTTTCAACCCCGGTAAAGTCAAATGTGGCGTATATATAAAATCAATTTTTTAAAGAAAATGAATAGCTGGGATTTATTTGTGCTTTTCACTGAGACAAAACACATATGAGACGTTATGCAGAAAACCTAAAACAGAAATAGAGTATCATTCATTCTGCCAGCCATCAAGAGTTTTGAAGAATCCGCCTTAACACAATATAAAGAAACCAAATTATTGTCCTTAATGTACCAAAAATAATTATTGTACTTGTATTATGGCCTAGTAATTTTGGAGCAGGGAGCTAGGCAAGTCATCAATAAAGGAGTTAGAGGCATTCTTCATTACATGATGTCTTACACCTTCCCATTATGCTTTGTGAATAGTCAGTTTTAGAATTATCATGCTTCATCACCTAAAAGTGGACCAACATTTCAATTGGAGGAAGAGAAAATCTTGTATTATATATAGTCTAACTCAACTTAACTAACAGTATTTAGTATGCCTCTTAACTACATATTGTCATCTAACTAAGCAAAAGTACTATATTACAACTCTAACTAAATATTTAATATAATTATCTTAACACTCTCCCTCAAACTCAAGGTGATCTAGTAAATGCCAACTTGAGTTTAGAAACTAACTCTTGAAATTGACTAGGAAGATGAGTCTTGGTAAAGATATCAACAATCTAATTTGAAGAGGTCACAGAACTAAGATGAATAATCCTTTGTATCATATGATGACGTATAAAATGACAATCAATCTCAATATGCTTGGAGCACTCATGAAACACATCATTATGAGCAATTTGTATAGCAATATGGTTATCATAGTGAAGGATAGTGGTAGAAGTTTGGGCAATGCCCATATCCTTTAACAATCGATGAAGCCAAAGTATCTCTGAAGTATCATCCACAAGAGCAAACTATTCAAATTTAGTGCTAGAATGGGTTGGTATGATTTTTTTCTTGCTTCACCAAGAAATTAGAGAATCATCCAAAAAGAAACAATAACATGTAGTTGAATGTTGATATGTAAGATCAGCAGTCTAGTCATCATCACAATAACTAGATAAAATTAGAGAAGAGTGTGCAAACAAGTGAAGCACATGAAATAATGTGCCTTTGATACAGCTTAGAATATACAAAACTATTGAGAAATGAGATGACAAGGAGTAGCCATAAATTGGTTAACTAAATGAACAACATAAGCAATATCAGATCGAGTCATTGTGAGATAGACAAACTCCTAACTAGTTGGCGATATAAAGTAGGAACACTATAAGTATCAAGAAGGCTAAGGTGTGAGTTAAAAGTGAGGACAATATGAGTTATATTTATTTTTGTAGCATTGGCAGTATGGATAGGAAGGATAGATGAAGTGGATCTTTTAGTAGACAAAGTAGATGAATTAGGAGTCATGTGGTTACAACAAGATGAGTCAAGAAATCAAGCTGAATTCCTTTGAGTAACAGAGAGAGCAGTGTAAGAAAAGGAATTGGAAGAGATA